AGATTTTAGGTAAGAAACAAATTGACATCTAGGCATAGAATTTCCTCCCTTCCACTCAAGGATAGGCTCATTTGGAAACTGAAATTTGACTACTTTAGTCCTACAATCAATAGAGGCGTAACAGGAATACAACCAATCCATACCCAAGATAACATCGAAATCTATCATGTCAAGCCCTATCATATCAACTAAGATAACTCTATGGGATGAGGAAATGGGATATCGTCTATAAACCCTCTTAGCTACCACAGAATAACCAATAGGGGTAAAAACATAAAAAAGTTCTAACAATACATCGAGAAACATATCAAATCTCATAGCTACATAAGGGGTCACAAAGGACAAAGTAGCACCCGAATCAAGTAAAGCATACACATCTATATGGAAAACTTTTAACATACCAGTCACAACATCCGGGGAACTCTATTGATCACCTCTAGTTTGGAGAGCATAGAAACGGTTTTGCTTAGGAGCATTCCCACCTGAACCACTCAGACCGGATGAAGGGTAGGGTTAAGCCCTACGACGACCATCTCCATAATTCTTAGCAACCGAAGGACAATTCCTTATTTTGTGATCCGTCTTCCCACTAGCAAAGCAAGCATTAAAACCCGCTAGACACTTCCCTTTATGATTTCTTCCACATTTAGCACAAGTAGGCATTGAAGGCCTATTACCATCGCCTTAAGGTTTTGGGTTAGACACCCTATCATTATTAGGCCTTGGAGGAGCACTAGAAGAACCTTGCCCGGAGAACTTTTTTCGGAACCTTGAACGGCCCCATCCACCGGACCTAGAATGTGAATAGTTACCATCATCCACCCTTGCTCTCTTTTCCTCTCTAGATCTTTCCTTGAGCTTTTCTTACTCAATTTGTTGGGAATGAACCACAAGGCGAGAAATATCCATGTCATGGACAAGTGTAGTGGTGCGACACTCTTTTCCTACCATGTCGGACACTTCCAACACAAACTTACTCATCTTGGCTCTAATATCCGCTAAAATGGAAGTGACATACTTGGATAGTTGAGTGAACCTCAAAGAGTATTCCCTTACACTCATATTTCTTTGCCTAAGGTTTATGAACTCAAGTGCCTTGGCGTCTCTCATCTCTAGAGGGAAGAATCTATCAAGAAAAGCACTTTTGAACCGTTCCCATTCTATGGGACCCGTTTCCACTAGCCTTGCCTCATCCACTGATTGAACTAAATGTGAGCAACCCTTTGAGTTGGTAAGCGGCTAGTTCCCTCTTCTCTACCAGAGTCACACACATTATATCAAGTAACTTGTAGACTTCGTCAATTAACTGTTGAGGGTCTTCCTCAACTTTGGAGCAATAAAATTTTGGAGGGTTCATTCTTATAAAATCCCCCACTCTTGCTGCTGTCGTACCCACATTTGGGTTGTTAGCTTGTGTCATCACGGCTTGAACCAACACTCGGAATGCTGACCTAAACTCCACATTTGTTACATTCTCATTCAATGGGTCAATCAGAGCTTGATGAGGAGCTTGGGGAGGAACCTCTCGATCAACGTTGTCTCCCTCCATCTTTCTTGCATTATCCCTTCTAGTAGTCATATCCTGAAAATATCGGTCACGGATTAGGAGAAAGACTTATAGAGTTAAACTCCATGGCACGAGTTAGAGAAGTTAAGAAGTGAAGTTTCCTAAACATCTAATAGCCTCTCATTCATAAATATGGCGCGCTTCACATTTATAAACAAGACTCTACTAGATGTGGTTTGAGACATCCTAGAACCATTCTAAGCCTTGTGCTCTGATTACCAAGTTTGTCACGATCCATGGGTGCCCCCTAGATGTAACAAGGCGTATAAGACTCCAGAGAGGCCTCAAATAAGACACTTAGCATATCATAAAATAAAGTACTAGAAATGAGTGGGAATTTAAAACCTTTCAATACAATCAAAGTCTTTTATAAAACGAGCGGAAGTCTACCATCATTGTCTCAAACCATCTAAACTACATGAATAAAGCCTTGGGTCACAGCCTATACAATAGTACAACACATAAAATAGAAAGAACATAAAGGAAAGTGGTGATCACATCCTCGAAAACAATGAGAATTAACCAAAACTTCTCTTCCTTGATCAACAATGAATCTAGCTACAAGTGTGAGAATCAATATCACCGGGCCCTAAATTTGATAAGAATGTAGGCAAGAGTATGAGTTAGTACAACCAAGTACTATATATGATGGCTAGCATAAACAACATAAACATAAGCTTTAGTCAACATAAGACATAAGGCGTAAGCAAAATCAAGACATAATAAGCATCACAATGAAAGAGGAATACTTCCTAAAGTAACCTCACTCATCCTTAGCCAAGACACAAGTCATTCGCCGCTAGTCAAGCTTACATCATGGAAGACATATATAGCAACAATCCAAGCAAATCAACTTCATAACATAATTACATTAATCATACTTACTTTTAAAGACATGGGGATTCGCCTCAATGCCTAGCCTATAAAAGGCTAATGGGTATTCACTTCTTGCCATACTTACTTTTAGATTGCGGGTACTTGCCTCCACAATCTCATCATATAACACGGGTACTCGACTCCACATCATTTCATAAGGAGCATGGGTACTCGCCTCCATGTCCATTCATCATAGTAGGAACGTGGGGACTTACCTCTTGTTCAGTTCTAAGGAGTATTGGAATCACCTCATATCCTTGTGTATGGAGGTCAAGGGTAATCACCTCTAGTCTTAGCATTCATTAATCATTTTAGTCTAGATTCATTTTAGGTTTGCAATCCTTTCAACCTAGAATCATTCATGTGAGTAAACATTTCACATTCATTCAATCATGCTTATCAATTCATTATAGAAAGTATCCCTTCCATACTACAACATCAACAATCAACAATTCATAGTCTAGGCTTTACTCTCAGAGCACTAAATCTCATGATCATTATTTATGCTTTACTCCCAAGAAATTAACATCATATTTATCATATATGCTTCAATCTGAAGCAATTCTAATCATAATTCATCAATCCTATAAGGATATATCTAACCAATACAGTTTCCCTCTCATGGCATCAAACTCAACTATATTAATTCAACCCTAAAATAATAGGATATGCATAGTTACATGTAATTTCATCCTAAATACATGTAATTCTATCAATTCAATCATAAACAATCACAATCCACTCAATTGGATCAACATTCATCATAACCCACAACATTGGAAAAACCCTAACTAGAATTTAGGGAAATTCTTCTTCAAATTGTGGAATTCTAGAGGACTCCGTGGGAGGAGGGATCCCATGGATGAAAATCCATCATACGTTAGTCACAATGCCCATAAAATCTTGAATATTGGGAGACTTGATTTTGACCTAACTTCAATCTCATTCTTCTTCTTCACCTTCTAGAGAGAGAATATTTGAGAGGAGTTTTGGGTTTTTTTTTAGAATTGAGAGAATGACTTAATTGAGTGAGTTTAGGGGTCTAAAATCCTTATATAGGTGGTCTAGGTTTAGGAAAAACAACACCACATTGATGTAATTAAAACTAGACAAGACCTGTGTGCCCCTAAAATGACTGCTAGCTATCAAACCACTAGACCCCGATCAACGGACCGTTGACTGACCTACGGTCCGTCCTGGTCAGTCGTGGTCTATGGTCAGAGAGTTGTGGCCAAATGACGGTTTGCTGGACCACGGGGAGTCGATAGACCTACGGTCCGTGGGTCACATCGTCGCCCTGACCTGGGGGTTTTCCTGAGGTGCCCAACCACAGACCCACCTACGGTCCGGGATCCCAACCACGATTTGTGGTTGGCCACCATTGGTCAGCACCTGCAGTTTTCCCAAAATATGTTATTTACTTAGTTTCGAATCTAGGGTGTTACAAAAAGTTTGACTTGATTTTGGTCGTGGTCCTCCCTAGGACATTGTGCACCTAAACTCATGCAAAATTTCTAAGTTAAGGGTTCCTATTATGAAGAAAAAAAACAAATAAAGAGTACGAAAAGAGTCGTATGTCTAGAAGAAACAAATGTAAAAATGTAGAGAATGGTGTGACTGAACAAAATGATGAAAAAAACTTGAATAAAAATAAGAAGAACAGATGAAACAACCAATAATGACAAAGTCACACTAGTGTTAAAATAAATCATAAAGAGAAGACCAGAAAGCAAGACGATGTCAGAATTGGTTGTAAAAGAGGTAAAATAGCCAATGTAATATCAAGGAAGGCATAAAAGTCACTTAATAGCCAAATATACTATACTTGACCTAAGCCTACGTTACAAGCTAAAAAAACCCTATAGTGATCCTAAGTAACCAGTTTGAAAAATCAAAGCGTAGAAAATAAGGGCAAGACTATGGCATTGAGCACAAACTGTATTTGAATTTGTTTCTACGCGTGAGTGTGCAATGAGTCCCCAACTAAAACAATCAAATTTTATGTGAAAAAGGGATTTCTTTGTGGTAAGGGCACACGTTACATTGTTGAAAAGTTGGTATCTTGGTGATGGTTGTCTATGTATGTGAATGTGTCTATTGGTATGTCTATGTCACGTATTGATCCGCATAAGTTAGCTTGTTGATTCTTAATAAAAGATTTGCATTGTGCTGAGAATAGAGAAAGAGGGCGATTGTGTAGAAAATGCCATGTGATTGCTTGAGTTTGTGAGTTGCTTCTGCATAAGTGTCATTTAGAGACTATTGCGTCGCTTGAGGACAAGCAATGATTTTAAGTTGAGGGTGTTGATGTACCGTGAATTTACGGTATTTTTGATGCATTGGACTTAGAGTTTTGCATGAGTCCTAGGCATTTTGTTATTTCATGTGATGGTACTTTAGGTTAATTTTGTAAGAAATAGGTTTTGGATCAGTTGGTATTGAAAGTGTTTGCAACAGCAGGAACATTGTGACATAGGAGTCCACCTATGAGTCGTCATTCCATCGACGAGTCGTAGGTGGAAGGCCTGGGTGATGTGCTGAGGAAAATGGGCCAAGTATGGAACGACAGAGGCGACTAAAGAGCCGTAAGTCCTATGACGAGCCTTCGATTGTGAGTCATAGGTAACTTCAGTGAAGATGAGTTCTAGTCCATGAATGACGATTGAACATGAATTGTTGTGCTTAGACCTACAAGTTGTAGGTCATGCCCGTCGATGACACCCATTGGATTTTTGGCTAACTGCTAAAAAACTGTGGCACCTACGAGCCGTCGTTCTTATGACGAGCCGTAGGTAGCCACCCATTTGTGATACTGCCCAGAACCGGATTTCCCGAAGACTTCCTTTTCCTACTTGGTTTAGGATTTATTTTCATTAAATATTAGTAGTAAATTTTGTTTTTAGGCTGTTAGACCTTTGGTGATACTTTGTTTTGGCTTTGAGAATTATTTTGCAAATACTTTCGACAATTAATTTTTGAAGATTTGTTTATGAAATTTGTATTTGTTCTTAAATTCAAGATTTCAGATTTCATCTATTCTAATTGTAAGTTCATGATTTACATTATTAACCCTAATATTAATTGTGAATCCTCAAGCATAAATAGCTAAATTTACAACTAGGGTTGTGGGAACCATGAGCAATTAACAACGTAAAACTAATATTTAAGTAATTATGGAATAGTGTTTATGCATGTATTGTTAATCTCTTTGTTTTGAATGATTTTTTAACGTATTGCCCCAAATTGGCATGCGCATGTGGATTGCACCACCAAGATTCATGCTAACTATGATGAATATTGACTAATTTTTTCTTGATGTTTGAGGCAAACAACATGCAAAAATATCTTGTAGAGAGAATTAGGAATAAAGAAAAAGATATAAGAATGTCACTGGGAGAGAAGAGTATACCACAGAGAATCATACACTGAAGAAGAAGGAGAATCGGAATTGAAGAGTAATACCGTCTAATTAATTCACGTGTTCACAAAAGATGCTAAATGAAAATCACAAATAGTATAACCAAGATAACTTTTTGTACAACAACTTATTGTTGTGTTCATCCCAGCCTTATTAGCTTATATAATAAGGTAATTCATAATCACATTCTGGTGTATCTGTTAGTTTCGGTCTTTTAGAATATCATTCTTACATGGATTTTTACATACAGGTTAGTAATTGTACTTTATTTGCATATGTATTACATCTCTTTGATGAATTTTGTTTTTGTTTTAAACTAATTACTGAAGAACTAAATCATTTTATGGAAAAGTTTCAGCTATCAAAGATAATGAAATTTACAAGTAGATTGTGCACCCAAGGTGTTTGATGTTATGCATGAACCATCATGCTTTGACTATTCCGTGATTTTTGTTCTTTTTGGGTTGCAGTAGTGAAATCTCTAGGAGTGAATGAGCAAAGACACTTCTCGACTTGGTTCACCGTGCTAGCAATTGTCATCTTCTACACGTTAAAGATACAAGGTATGATTGTTAATTACTTTTTACGTATTCTCCTTGCTTTGTTTTAATCAACGATGAAATCTTGAGTATTGTTCACTATTACTGTCATTTTTCTAATTTTGGTGTTTGATATGTTGTTCTACTTTTTCTTTGAATTGAGGGACAGTAAAACTGCGAGAATTGTCCACTATAGGCTGATTTTCTGCATTTGGAAAAATCTTAGGAACCAACTCACTTTGTCTACTAGCATTATTAGTTCCATTCTAAATTTGATTTTTGCCTGTTATCGACATGGTTTCTAACAAAGGTTTAAATGGGTCAATCAACCCAAAACCCAATTTCAAAAGGAAGGTTTGAATCCAAAATTTAATGCTTGAAAACAATTCTCAAGGCTTTGGGAACTCATTGGTGAAAACCATTTCGGAAAGGACTCAAAAATCAGTTCAAATTCTCCATTTTAGTTAAGAACTTGAGTTCTTGAAAACCTGGTCATTTACCAATCAAAATCCCAAATTTTGATGTCAAAAACCATAAATAATCGAAGGAAAATAAAGTTTTAAGATCATAAAAGCTTACCCAAATGATTTAGCACAAGAACACTTTTCACAAATCGCCTCCAAGGATTCCCCACTCTCAAAAATAGAAAATGGGGCTTAAACCCTGAAATTTGCGGGTCAAAATCCCCTCGGATGTCGATTTTGCGAACCACGTTCCGCTTAAGCAAATCCCGCAAAAGCTAGGGGTCTCGTTTTTGTGAACTAGGTTCCGTTTAAGTGGCCATCCCTAAAGCGAACCCTGCCCAAAAGTCTAGCCTCGCTTTTGCGAACCAGGTTTGCTTAAGAAATCATCGCTAAAGTGAGCCATGGTTCGCCTAAACGAAGACTGCAGCACCAGAAACATCAGTCAACAATCAAAACATCGAAAGGACCTCAAGATTCGTTCGGAACCCCGTGCACACAAACAACATATGAAAATCAATTATACTCGACGTTTCAAACTTAATGGAACCGTCAAAAACAAATTTGAGGTCTTCTTGACCCTACATCTGTGAAAACCACAAGAAACTAACTCAACGTCTAAAAAGGCTAAAACAAGCTCGAGGACCTCTAAAAAATCAACAAAGATCTCACTTAGGCCTAAAATCATCCGCCGAATCCAACAAAACTCCCAAAATTTTGATCCAAGCATCTGAACCCCGGATGTTGACTGAGTCAACCCAAAAGATAAAATTCCACAAGTTCACAACTTAGTACCTCAAATCCTCAAAAAGACACCGAATCTGAAACCAACAAATCTCACTGATTAGATTTCACATTTCGAGACTGATGGAATCAACAAAATTCCATTCTGATACTCGAAACTCCAATAGACACCGAACATCACTTTCCTAACAACTTAGCCTTTCAAACTCAAAATTTACCAAACTCTCAAGTTTTGAACTCAAAGTTCGAAACTAACTTTCAAAACTCAATCATAGAAGACTGGGGGCCAATATCGAGAGGGCAAACTGGTAAATTTCACGGAAAAACAAAAATTGACCAATCGGGTCATTACACATATCTGATACATCCATCCCATTAAGTAATATACCATTTTGTAATGTATCGGACAATCAAATAATGTATCCGAGAGTAATAGAAAATCTAGACTTTTTTGTAATTGAGAAAACTTTCGGAATATGGTGTAATTACCCCCAAATGTTAAATATTTTGTGTAGGCATTATTGTTAGAAATGTTTGGACACCTTTTCTTTACCTGTAAATTAAGATATTTAAATAATTAGAGAAAAAGAATTATGTGTTTAATATATCATGTTGAGAAACATTAAAAAAAGGAGTCAGTGATTATGTGGTAGAAGAGAAGTGTTTGATTGTATGATTCCATTATAAGACACTCAATAGTGGAGATGATGTAGAGTTAAGATGTGGAGACGTGCTTAGATAGCATTGTTTGGCGCCTATATATAGCAAGCACCACAAGATAGGGAATTAAAGAAACAAAAGAAAGCTATTGAGTGTAGTATATATACTTATATACAAAAAAGAAAAGAAGCATCATGTCATGGTTATTGAGGTTTGTGAAGTAAGGTAAACCATATTTGGCAGTGACATTGTTGCAATTTGGATATGCAGGATCAGCCATTATTGCAAAGTCTGCTCTAAATCATGGCATGAGCCATTTCACCTTTGCCGTCTACAGAAATGTCTTTGCCACTATTGTCTTTGCTCCTTTTGCCTTGCTCTTTGAAAGGTCAATTCTCAACTCACTTTTTAATCGGTACGTTTTGATGATTTGGCATGACGTTTAAGAAAACAAAGAAATTTTTTGAATCTTGTGATTTTAAATTAAAGTTATATCAAATGTACGAAAATACTCTTTGAACTTGTGGTTTTAAACATATCATTTGAAAAGTTGGATTTAAAGTATTGCCAAAAGAGGAAAGGGTCATTCTTTTTAAAACACAACAAAAAGGAAAATATGTTGTTCTTTTTTAAATGGACGGAGTAACATTTTGATATAACCTTTAATTTATTTAAGACTATAAATTTTAAAAGTATTCTTTACTTTTCAAAACAAAATCACACAAACAGAAGCATACTCATGCATTGCAACTTCGTTTTACTTAAATGAAGTTACTATCATTGATTGTGTAATTAAAGCTTTATTAATGTTTTTCTGTGGTTATTTTATTGCACAGGAAAATAAGGCCAAAAATGAGTATATCCATTTTGTTGAAGATTATGTTGCTGGGCTTAGTGGAGTAAACATCTCTGAAGGTGAATATTATGAGATTATCAAGTCAGGCAAAAATACACTACAACAAATTCGATTATCAAGGACAAATAATTGCGTCATTTATAAATCATATTTCGTCACTAAAATTCTTGTGAGACGAAAAATAATTCGTCACTCAGTCGTCACTAAATGTGTGTCTCTAAAAGTATACAAAGACGATTTAGTGCTTCGTCGCTAAAAGTATTATATTAACTACAAAAA